CAGACCATCCCACAGCAAAGTAACAACAGTTCATCATAGAAAGAAGCCAGAGCAAGAACCTAGGGCAGGAACCTGGGGCAGAGATGGAGGGAGGATGCTTACTGGCTTGCTCGCCATGCCTTTCTCAGCTTGCTTTCTTACACAACCCATGACCATGTATCCAGTACCCACTGGACCCTCTTACAACAATCATTAATCCAGAAAATGCCCCACAGACATGATGACAAGTCAGTTTGATGGAGGTAATTCCTTAGCTGGGGATCCCTCTTCCCAGGTGACTCTATTTGGGTCCAGTTGACAAGAGTCTAACCATCACAGAGAGGAAGGACACATTCTGTCATCAGTGAAAAGGAACATCTAGAAAGAGAATGGCTATGGTCATGTGCACATGCCAAAAGGCTTCCAGGGTATGAATGAATAAAATGCCACTCATAAGTAAGTCTTCTTCATTTCACATATTGAATTATATTTACTATCACAGAAAACATCATTCCAGCCCCAATTCAGAGAATGCCAGAAAACTATTGAAGCGCATCGTTCTTCAGGCAAATTGGGCTCACGGGGGTGCCAGAACCTGTAGGAAACAAAAGACAGAAATAACTACTCCATGAGTGCATAGCAGTTGCTTGAAAGATGGCATTTAAGGTTGAATGGAACAGAGCTGAGGATGAGAGAAGATTCCAGCATTTTCTCCCCTTTCTCATGCAACCCACTTCTAAAATGCCAAATATGGGCAGCTTTATGTATATTTTCCCCCAATGTGGTAAACTTTGACCTTTTCCCTGCAATCCAAAGTTTCCTTTCTCTTCTTCACAAATCTCTCATCAGGATACAAGTTAGTAAAAGTTGTTCTTTCTTTGGCTTTATAAAGGCTGCCTCCTAACTCTGAATGTGAGTTATCTGCCTCCTTTTAAGACTATAGGAGGGGTTAGAAGTAGGGGATGGGCATTACTTTTTGAATTAAAATGATTTTTTAACTCGGGTAAAAACCAAATACTAGTGGTCTTAAAAATACGTAACAATAAAATGACTCCTAATGATATCCTACTGTACTCATAGATTGGGGCTTTACTCAGCCATCATCAGAAAGGCTTCAGATGAGAACAGATACAGAATCCCACAGCAAGACATTACACAGAGAGAGACCTTGGACCACACAGCTCTAAACAAGATGTGTCTCCATCAAATCCCTCCCCTCAGAGCTCAGTGAAGCCAATATGAAAGAGAAGGCAGAAGGAATTGGGGAGACAGAGGGGAAGAAGGACACCAGGAGAACAAAGCTCTCTAAATCAACATGAGCAAGACTCATGTGAACTCACAGAGTTCTGAAGCAGCATGCACAGGGCCTGCATGGGTCTACCCTAAGTCCTCTGCATGTACACTATAGCTTTCAGTCTAGTACTTTTCTGCGATTTATTTATAACTCTGTAAAGGAGTAGGTCTCTGATTCTTGTGCCTTCTATTGGAGTTCTTTTATTTTCCTGTTGGCTTGGATTGTCCAACTTCAATGTGATGGTTTCATTTTATCTTATTATATTTTATTTTGATATGTACTGAGAGCTGCTGGTAGCAAGAGACCATGGGAGTATACAGCAGGTGACAACTAGTGTTCAGCAGGTCAACCCACCAGACTCTCTTGATGGAAAGCTGTACCTAGCAAGGCCATGGAGTTACTGACTATAAATAACCAGTTGCTCCTGTCTGTAATTTCTCTAATATGCCATTTCATTTCTTCCCTAAGAACAGCTATGGGTGTTTTCCCACTGCTGGTGTGTCTATCTCATGTATATATTCCATCTATTGGGCACATATATCCATGGATGGTCAGGAAGATGACTTCTCATGGGGTAGTATGGTTTTGACATATGGAAAACAACTAGGATATGCTTCATAACTAGATCTACTGTCCCATGAAGACTGTGGACACTTAAAAGCCTGCTTTGTTCCTTTTACTTAGACTGGTGCAGGAAAACAGCAGTTTCTCCTCAGTCTAGGACAAACTGCACACAAGTGGCTCATTTTTTTTTTTTAACCTCAGAGCAAGTTCAAAATAAACTAAAAGCTTTTGTAAACAGATCATAAGCTCAAAACTTTACAGATGCACAGGGTCCAAGGTTATCAACACAAAGCACCTAAGAAAAACATGCCAAGTCTGCACTTGCCAAGTCTGGCTGATAAAGGACCTATGCCTCAAGCTTGTCTAACCTGGCACTGTGCCACTGGGCTCTTATCACAGTCATTCTCCTGAAACCTTGAAACTTTGTGTTGCCATGGTAAATGGCTCTGCCCTTATCATTTACCAAGTGGGATGTAACCTTTGTAATTGCTTCAGGGCTCCTGAAAAAGTGCATTTAAGCTAGATGAACAAGAAGCTAGAGAGAATTGGAATAGGAATTAGGATTGGGACAGAGAATTAGAGCTAAGAAATTCTAGACAGTTAGAACAAGAGAGTTAGAACTGAGGCAGAACAGCAAAGTGACAGGACCGGAAGAGCACAGGTGTGAGTTATTCCCTCAGAGTAGAAAGATCCACCTTCCTTTCACTTTGCTGTGGCTTCTGACCTGAACCCCAGAGGTGGCCTTGCAGAGCTGGACTCTAAGGCTACCGTTAGTTATGTTTGATTGTTATTTCCTAGAAACCTGTTCTTTTCTAATGAGAGACAGAAAGGGAGTAGATACAGATGGGAGAGGATGTGTGGAGGAACTTGGAGGAGTAGAGGGAGGGGAAACTATATTCAGATTATATTGTGTGAGAAAAAAATCTATGTTTAATAAGAGGAAAAAAAGAAATAAATAAAATACTTATTTAATACTTCTAATTCACTTTGACCCTGATCAAGAAAGTTAATGTCCTTTGATTTTAAATTTTTTATGTATAAAAATGGAAATCATAAAAAATAGAAACAAATTTAGTAAAAGTTTCAAAATAACTCACAAGATTGCATGAGGATAAAATAAGGTAACATATCAATAAATTCATTTAAAAATAACAAAAAGTATTATGAAATTATTCTGATATATTTGTCATGATTCTGATCCAGTTATTTTAAATTTTATTTACTAGAGAGCAATAAATTAATTTAAGTTTCTACTTGTGTTTAAAGGCCGAAAAACATCTAATGGCTGAGAACATCATCTTTAGGTAGACATTGGGTTAAATGCAGTTTCTCATTTTATTGGTCGATTGATCTTGAAGTTATTATTCAATATTCATATATAAAGCAGGTTTCTAAAAGAGAAGTTTCATGAAACTTTAGATTATTCATGCATTTAGTGAGAACTTAATCTGTTATAATCATTAATATTCATAGTCACTGCTAGCAAAATTTCCCTCAATTTTCAATGTAAATAGTTCCAATGGTTCATTAACCTAGGACTTCACTCACCTGATGTTTTGACTGAAAGGAGTATTATCGATCCATTGCCATTTGTTATTACCTTGTGGGTCAGAAAGCCCCAGGAAGTAAGCAAGTGACCTATTCAGCTGTTGGGTGATGAAATTCTGTATGGATGAAAGGGAGTTAATGACTGGGAATGTCTCAGCCATATGAAATAGAAGCAAACACAAGTGAAAGGATGGCCATTTGAAACAATAGCACAGGAACCCGAAATGCCAACACTGTTGCAAGGCCAGAAGGTCCTGGCCCAGGAACCCTCATCACTCATTCTTCACCAGTTAAAAGGATCATCCCTAATTTCATGAGATTATTTTTATATTTTAATCTCTTTTAAAATGATATTAGATTCTATGTCTCTACCTAGCAAGGCCAAGGGACACCCAGATTAAAATGTCATCTCTGAGTCTGTGATGTGTTTCCATGGGATCTGTGATCTCAGTAAGCTAGCTTGCTGAGTGGGTGGGCATTATCCAAACATTTGACAGCCTGAATAGAACACAAGGCCACGTTAAGAGGAGCTCCTCTTACTTTGCTTCCTGACTGTCTGCTCAGGTAGAAATAGCCTTCTTGATTCCTCTGGTTCTCAGGCCTTTGAACTCTAGAGATACATCAATGGTTTTCTTGAGTCTTTAGCAAATTCAGCAAAGTTACAGGATACAAAATCAACATACAAAAATTAACACCATTTCTTCACACTAACAACAACAACAACAACAACAACAACAAACAATCTGAAAAGCAAGTGAGAGAATAACTCTTTCCAAAAGCATCAAAAAAATCTAAGAATAAGCTTAACCTAGAGGACAGCCAACTTACTCAGGAAGCAAAACAATGTATTCTGAAAACTAGAAGACATTGACTGAGGAAATCAAAGAACACACAAGTGAGTGGAGAGATTCCTTTTTCCTGGAGTGTGTAAGTAAACTCCTATGTGTAGTCAAATGCTCTCTGGCCAAGTACCAAGATCACATGATGGGAAAAGTACAGACTATCTGACAAATATGCTGGGAATGAATGTTGTGGGGAAAGAATGGAGCTAGTCCCTTTCCTCATACTTCAGACAAAAGTCAATTCAAAGTGCTTCAAAGACCTTAATGAATGGTGCAAAACTGTAAACTCTTGGAAGAAAACCCAAGGTAACAGCCTCATTGCGTTGGAATTAGCAATGTATTCTGGGACATGATACCAAAAAGAACAGGTAACAAAACAAAAATAGACAAAGGAATACGTCAAACCAAAAAGCTTTTTCACAACAAAGAAAAAAATCAGCAAATAAAAAAGCAACCAATGGTACTGGAGAAGACATTTGCAAGCCATATACCTGATAAGGGACTAATATCCAAAATAAATAAAGAATACCTATAAACCAACAAAAGTGGAAGAAATTGAAAAGTGTGTGTGTGTGTGTGGGGGGAATATTGAGCTGACATTTTCCCAAAAAAATATACAAATGGCCAACAGAAACATTAAAAGATGTTTAACAGAAGGAATCAGGAACAGGAAAGGTTAGAAATGCTACAAATACAGTGTACTCATGTACAAAATTAACAGATTAAAAGCGTTCAGCTTCACTAGTCATCAGGGAAATGCAAATTAAAACTAGTTTGGGATTCAGAATCACCCCAATCAGAGCAGCTGTAATCAAGAAAACAAATAACAATAAATACTGACAAGGATATGGGAAAAGAGAAATACTTATTTTCTGTGGTGTAAGTATAAACTGGTGCAGCCACTATGGAGAGGAGTGTGGAGGTTTCTCAAAACATTGAAACTACAAATGCCATGTGACTCAACTATATTACTCTTGGGCACATACCCAGAGGACTCTATTACAGAGGTGTTTACTCATCCATGTTCATTGCTGCTCTATGCACAGTAGCTAGAAAATGGGATCGGTCTAGATGTCCATCAACTGAAAGTGGATAATAAAAATATGATACATATACATTATGGAATTGTAAAGAAAATGAAACTGTAAAATTTGCAGGTAAATTAATGGAGTGGGAAAAATTACTGAGGCAATATAGGTAAACCAAATGTTCTATCTCTATGGAGATCTTATCTTGGAGCTTTTAGATTTGTGTATTTAATTTAGAATATCTGCAGTGTCCAGGAAACTAGAAAGGGACCATTGATGGGAAAGGGAGGGAATGTCTTCAAGGAGAAGGAATAGCAGAAGTAAGGGAGTGTGAAAGTAGATAAATACTGGAACTTAAAGGTTTGAGTGGGAGTGTGGTGGGCGATGAGGGAGATGCATAGAGGGGGCGGGCTAACCAAAACCAAGGATGGGTGAAAAAGTCGTGTGGAAACCTGCTGTTGTGTAAGCCGATTAAAAATACAATTTTAAAATGGAGTTTGAAGGGAGTTAACCTCCATGGGCATAGCTGCTCTGTAAGTGATTAAACAAAAATCCTAGTGTTTTGTCTGAGGTTCCTCCTTGTAAGATAGTAATCAGGAAGGCCACAGAGGCTTCAGAAAATCTCCTCTTTACAGTGGGTGATGATCAGTGCTCTGCAATGGGACAGCTACATCACAACACCCCAAGCTCAGTGAACATGACAGAGAAAAGAATATGAGAGCTGAAACTCACAATAGCAGTGGCTACCCGAGAAACATACACACAAGACTGGGACCATCAACATTCCACCATTGGTGTGGGAAGGGCTAGTAAGACCCTATCCCTCCCTGAGGAGCTGTGGGCAGTTTACAGTTGTTGGTATAAAAGGAGTCATATTTCTCAGAGGTGGCTGCACACTCAGGCTCATGCAGGCAATGCTATAGAAATATGAGTCTCACCCACAAAAATAAGATAGGAAAATTTGTAAGGAAGAGGGGGTGCAGTGAGAGAGGAAGGGAATAAGAGAAAACGATGATGTTCATTTTGATCAAAGAACATTATATATGAATGAAATTGTGAAATAATAAAGAATCTTTAAAAAATCAGGATCTAAAGGAGATATTATACAGCTACATTCATTGCACTATT